TAAGGAAAGCAATTGCTGTCTTGATAGGGTTGATGCACTGTTCATAGCAGAGTTGTAACCGGTCAAAAAAATTCAGACCGGACCGGTCTGACCGGTTTAAATCTTAGACCGGCCCGGCCCGGCCGGTGACCGGCCGGTCTAAAAATATTTCTAGACCGGCAAAAACCGGCAGACGTATGAATTTTCTTTACATGGTAAAACTAGTTCTAGACATAGACCTTTTATCCATAAATTGATTTTTACACTTTCCTTTTCATGTATATTATCATTTTCATAGCAAACAATAACACAAATTTCTACGATTGAATATGTTCTGGACAAAATAAAGTTCTTTTCTGCAAAAGCTGATAATTGATTTAAATCTCTTCTTTTATTATATACAAAATTTACACAAAAAAAAATATCATAATGATACATATTAAATTAACAAACTATGCGACACATAAATACATATAGACGAAAGTGTTGTTATTTTGATATTGGCCATGTCTTGTTTAAATAGGCTTCCTTTAAAACAACAATTGATTCGACACATTCAGGATCCAATTGAGACCTTTCTTCTGTGACAATTCGCCCGGCCATTGAAAAGTGCCGTTCCGATTCAGCCGAAGATGCTTGTATAACATATATAGACTTTGCTATTTTGGATAAAATCGGTAAGGTTGATTGTTGATCACGCCAAAATATCAATGGATTATTATCTTCAGGTAATTCATATGATGTATTTTCATAAATTTGAATTTGTCGTTTGACATCGTTAATAAATGAATTTGTTGAAACAATAACTGAAGATGTTGTTGTTCGTACACCACGCATTGATGCAAAAGGATCTTCTTTCATTTTTTTTGTTGGTGGTGAATCATTTTTATGTGAAGATTCATTGGATGATAAAATAACATCTTTAAAATCATTAGCCAAAATATAAATACCATCTTTAATTAATTTCTTCTGTTCAGATAAAAATTTTTCATCAGTAACAAATAATAATTCTTTAAATGTTGGATCAAGATATGCAGCAATCCAATGTAATTGTGTTGTCGACGTCCAATATTTATCTTCAAGTTCTTTGGCAATTTCAACTTTTAATAAATTTATAATAGAATTTTTTTGTTTTCTGTCTATAATACAACATTCATGCATTCGATAATAACTTGGTATAACATTTTGTAATGTTGGTCGATTTGAAAATTCTAAACTATCAAAAATTAAACTGAAATTTTCCATAAACTTACTAATTTCATGTAATAATTGTGGATTAATGTGTATAAGACGATGTTGTTCACCACGTTCACGTAATAATATCAGCAATTGCTCATATGATTGATGTAAACTATCATGAATAAGAAAATATGAACGCCATGGACGTGTACCACTTGTACGTTTTAATGTTTTTGGTAATTTAAACTGGATTCCACCACTTTGTTGACAGTAAGTTCGAAGATCACTAACTGACGTACAGAAAGTTTTAAATTCAATATTAATTTTTTTAACATTTTCCCATGCTGTTTCTAACACAGTATTTGTTCGATGTGCAAAACATGGAAATCGTGCTTCATCAGTTACACTTAATGCTTTAATCATATTTGCACCTTGATCTGTAGTGATGGGTGTGTCACCGAATGACAAATTAAATGATTGAAAGATTTGTTCTATTTCATGCCATATATTAATTCCAGTTTTTTGTTCATCAAAATGTTTGCATCTTAATAAAGTATGTTTTAATTCATAAATATTATTAACATAAAATACTGTAAAATCCAAATAACTTCTTTTCATTAAATCATCAGTCCACAGATCAGCTGTGGCAGCAATGCAATGTTGTTTAATTGGTTCTTCTAATAAAGAACGTACTTGATCTGTATATTGATCAAATTTGGATACAACTTCTTCACGAATAGTTTGTCTTCCATAGAATATATCTTTAACATCTAATAAACCTAAATTTGCACCAATATCAATACCAGTTTGAAATAATTGTAATAATCCATCATTTTCTAATGAATTAAATGAATGTGAACCGGCAACCACGAATTTTAATTCAGCATCTTTAATTTTTAATTTATATTTGTCTGGTAATGCCTTTTTATTATAAGCAAATTTTGGTTGAATAATATATCCAGATGTTTTATCATTTTGATTATTAATTTCATTAGCTTTTGATTTTAATTTACATTGTTTCAAATGATCATGTACTGAATTTAATCCAAAATTTTTCCTTTTACCATTAGAATCTTTTTTAGCATGTGTTCGATAAGCCGTATGACAATAGTTACAAGCTATCCAACCTTCTAATACATCAATAATATCATTTTCATTTTTCTTTCCAACCAAAGATACATCATTTTTCCATATATCATTACTACCTTTTTCATTTTTAACTAATTCAAAATATTTGAATTTTAATTTGTTTTGAATTTGCTGTGCAGTAAGATTATCCGCATCCATAATAATCATAAAAATAAGAAGATTATGTTACGTACTTTTTCTGTGTTGAATAAAAAAAATATATGACGAATACTTATCGGATCGTGCGTATATCTATCTGTACAATCAGCTAGACAGTCTACTCTCTTTTTTATTAATTTAATTAAAGATATGTGTCGGCATGTCAACAAGAATTGAATTAATATCAAAAGAAATACATAAAAAAGAAATAACAATCAATATGTGACACTGTTCTGATTATTAAGATGTTGTAAATAGCAGATAATAGAAATCTTTTAAGAGGAAATTTAATGTATAGAAAAATTTGAATTAACATCGAAAAACAAAACTTTTGCTCTTTTCGTTTCAAAAATTGTAATAAACAGAAATAAATAATATTATCTTATTAAAAAATTAATAATAACACAACTTTTTCAAACCGGCAAAAACCGGTAAAAACCGGCCGGTCTAGCTGTTCAAACCGGCCCGGCCCGGCACCGGCCCGGACCGGCCGGTCCGGGCCGGTTTTGCCGGGCCGGTTACAACTCTGGTTCATAGTAGTCATTAACTATACTGTGGGATACATGTACATTTGTAGAAGAAGACTTCCTCCATCAAGTGATGCGTGTATAGTAAAACTATTGCAGACTGTTAATATTTGAGTAGAGAGTACCAACTTCAATACATCCTTTTATAGACGTAGCGAGTGTAGTGCTGCCAACTGGCATATGAACATAACGCAATTGAGGTTGATAATATGGATATATATGTCAGCGTCCAAACTGAGATTACGTCCAATCTCAGATTGGCCTAGGCGAATGTCGGATCCAAGATTGGACGCGTTCAATCTCGGATTGACGCAATTCCGTTCATTAAAATATCAATTACCCTGTAGACAGACCTTGGATTCGAACTATTTTTTGAAATTATGTTCACACAATGCCGTTTTAAGTATTACAAGCATTTAGGAAGAAGCTAAATTTAGACTCAAAAATGTAACAAAAGTTTTTCACAAAAGTTCTTGTTCTCTAGAAATTCATTCATAACTCCTAAAATTTTATTCAAATTTGTCAAATGATAATTGTGCCAAACAAACTGGCATCGTGTGAACATAACTCAAAAAAAATAGTTCGAATCAAAGGTTTGTCTACAGGGTAATTGATATTTTAATGAACAGGATTGCGTCAATCCGAGATTGAACGCGTCCAATCTCGGATCCGATATTCGCGTAGGCCAATCTGAGATTGAACGTAATCTCAGTTTGGACGCTGACATATATATCAGATAATGGAGAAAGTTTTCCTCTACAGTTTTACATATACCCTGTTCCAAAGTCAAAGTCTCATGGTCACCTTGAACTATATGAATTTATAGCTCTAATACGTGATCTGGTAATTGAGTTTAGGATAAATTTGAGAGTGATAAATACACAACGTTTAGATGAAGTCTACGCTAAAAGCTGGGCTCATCCATTTTTCACTTCAATAGAGCTTAGCACACTATCCGAGCACTAGTCATTCTTTAGATACGAAACGATATATTATAGAGGGCCCTAGTATTGTAAATATTTTTGATAATTCGTGACGATCAGAAATCTATTCAAATGTAAGTTTTCCTGTTGAGATTGACCTCAACGTGGAAACCAAATTTAGTGATTGTAGATAAAATCTATTTGTTTATTTATTTGTTTTAGGTAGACTGATTTCAATAACACAATGTGTGGTGAATATTTTTAACGACACTTACGTATTTTCTTTGATTTAGATTATTTTCTCTATCAACATAAGCAGTAATTGATTTCTTAGAAAATTTATTTTTTATCATTTAGATCAATCTCAATATGAAAATCGATATTTACTATTTATATATAACAATTGTTTATTTTTGATTATTCAAATTAATCTCAATAATACAACGAACAGTAAGCACTTCTTGAGAAAACTTATGTATCTTTTTTATTTTGATCACTATCTATAGCAACATAAATGATAAGTAATTGTTTAGAGAAAAAATTGTTTTCTTTTTTCATTTAGATCTACCTTAAGACCAAAATGAACACTAAGTATAAATAGAAAAATATTGCGAATATAAAAATATTGCTTAGATCTATCTGGACGACATAATGAATAGTAACGCATTTATTTAAAAAGAAAGAAATATTTTTTTTTTATTTAGTCCACTTTCAAGATCAAAATGAAGAGGGAACATACTTGGATAAAAAATTACTCTTAATTACTTACGTCATACGGGAAGAAAAAAAATACTGTGCTATTTCCAGTCAGTCTTACCTATTCTAATAGCTGCGAATGAGTTGTTAATTCGTTATGTTTTTATCTAAGAGTTACTCGGACTATAGATCAGATAGAATGTTTTAGTTTTTTACATATAAAGCTTCGCTTTACAAAGGAATTTTAAATTTGAAAGAAACAAATTTTGTTTACAAGGAGTTCAGACGTTTGAGAAAATCGTGAGTATTCAAATTGAGCATAATATGATAAGGTTCTTCGTCGTTAGGTCATTTCATAGATGCAATCTAAGAACAATTCAACTGCGAACCATTAGATCATTAGTATACTCGTACTTTCTGTTCTTCTTCTTTCTTTAGTGGTATCGAGTTTTTTTTTACAACACTCAAGCCTTAATTCAGTACTTTGTTGTACTTTACTTTTGTAAGGGTACGACCAAGCTCCCTTTTTAGTCTCGACTATGAATTTCTGAGGAAGATAGTTACCTAAAAAAGGGTTTATACACTTTTTTAAATGCATTTTCAGTGATGCAGCAGTTTAAATCTTTCATTACTACGTTCTATGTCGTTTCATGTCAGTAATATCTAAGATAATTGAAGATGTGTTTTTAAGCTAGTTGGAAAAGATAACACAAAAAATTTAAATTACTGTATCACTAAAAATGCATTTGATAAAAATGTATAGGACTCTTTGTAGGATTGTCTTCTTTAGAAATTTGTGGTGGAGACTAAAAGTAGAGCTGGATAGTACTCTTTCAAAAGTAAAATATAACTATGTACTGAATTGAGGTTGGGATGTTGTAAAAAACTCCATACCGCTCTAGCAAGAAGAGACACAGATATCTGTTATTCATAAAATACAACTAATAAACACATAAAATAAAATTTTCTAAAATAGTTCAAAAAAATTGCATACAATTTGACGCTTAATTTTATGTTTTTTAATGCGTTTAAACGCTCAAAAGTTTTTCACTATTTTTGAGAAAAAAAAGTAGCCGTTTTTTGCCATCAGAAATTTAGATGCAAAAATCTGTACAAAGGAAACAAACTATATAGAAAATTAGACATACTTTTTTTGATACTAAATTAGTACAAAAAGTGACATGCTTGTCTGCCCGGGGAGTTGATCAAAAGGAATAATCAAATAGCTTTTCGAAAAAGTTACTGACTTAATAAAATTTTACTCATAATTTTTATCCTCTGAGATTACATTACATACTTAAGATCATCTCCAGCTGTTGTAATCGTTCCTCTCGGGTATCGAAGAAGAAACTACGTTTATGCGGCGGTTTGTTTGCATTCATATCGTTGTTCATCTTTCAAATAATAAATATTAGTGTGTATTTTTATAATTTTTATTTATGTATTGGCGCTGTTTGCACAAAAAAAATGAATTTTATTTCGTTTATTTATATAGCACATTATTAACAAGAATAAATTTTTATTATCGTATGATCATTTGTACTATAATTACCAAGTCGATTTTTTGATCATGGCGTTACTATCATCATTATTACCACGATCACTATGGCGATTTTGACCATAGTTATTATTTGCCCATTTGTACCATTGTTACTATGGGCAATTGTACCACAGTTACTGTGGGCATTTGAACCAAAAAATGGTCATTTGTACCATAGTTACAACGGCCATTTTGACCGTAATTAGTATTTGGTCATTTGTACCATGTTTGCTATATGGTCACCTGTGCCATAGTTACATGGTCGTTTGTACCAAAAAATGACCTTTTGTGCCAAAAAAATGGTCACTTGTGCCAAGAAAATGGTCGTTTGTGCCAAAAAAATGACCATTTTGACCGCGTTACCGACAGACAGACAGACAGACAGACAGACGGACAGACAGACAGACACAGGTGAATTTCGGTTTCTAGACCCTAGCCTTTCAGTCTAGGGAATAATGAGCTTCATCATCATCATTTTACCCTTTATGTCCAGGATTATTTTTCATGTAGTAAAAAAGACGAGGGAGAGTTGATAGGCAAATCAGACCTATACAATTTTTTTCTATTCGAAACCCGAGCTATCTTATACCAAACAAAAGAGCTCGATGAGTTGAATATTTTTTTTGTGACGAAACTTGACCTTTGAAATGAAACTATGGAGAGTTCTGAGCGTGGCAACGGTAACTAAAAGGACTGAAATTTTACACGTTAGGTGACTGAGAACCCTTCATGGTTTCATTTAAAAGATCAAGTTCCATCACAAAAAATGCTCAACTCATCGAGCTCTTTCGTTTGGTATAATAATGTTGGGATTTTGTATCCAAAAATTATTATAGGGTTGATTTGCCGATCAATCTACTCGCGTTCTTTTTACTATATCAAAATAATCCCGAATCCAAAGGGTTAATTATAAAGTAAATATTTAATATTCTTTTCAAAAGAAAAAAATTATGTTGTATAAAATTTAGTAGAAAACTACTATACATTTCAAATTAAAAGAGACAGTCCGTGCTGATCGAATATCTTCATAACGATAACAGTTAGAGACCTGCAGTTGTTTTTGTTCGATAGCCCGGTATGATGGCAAGTAAATTGCGTGCTAGAAACGAAAATTTTCAAACGTGTCTTCATGGGATTTTGAGGACTTTTTTCGAACAAAATCGAAAATTGAGGGTATTAGAGAGCTGGACTTTGATCCCTAAATATTGCAAACGATAGACTAGACTGTTGTGCTCATTAAAAAAACCGCGCCTTTCTACGATGTTCTGTTAGGATGTGCGTGGGAGTATAATTACGGATGTGGATGTAGATATCATTCTCTTC